GAAGTTGAAAAAACAACAAAAATTCTCCCTTGTACATATGATTTGCAGCAACTGATTGCAATCAAAGGACTTTTTGGACTTCTTTTTTTCGACATCCATTTAAACAAAACACTAACTAACAAACGAACTATTGATTAAAATGAGTTAAAAATGAATTTGATGTATTTTGAGCAATTTGTGTACGAATTGTTGTGTAATGGAGAGTTGCGTGACTCGTTTGGTTTTGTCTACGTTCGCAGCTTTTGTTTATCCCGTCGTGCTTGCCGTTCACCGTGCCGTTATGCTTGCCGTTTACCGTCCGTTTGCCGTGAATTGCGTTCGTCGTCATCTTTGCGTTGTGTTTCTTCCGAGGTATACCTTTTACTTCTTATTTTATTTGTATTTGGTTATTTGTATTTATTTTATTTATTTGTTTATTTATTCTTAATCTGTTAGTTGGATATATTAATTCTTTTTTCTCTTTTGGTTATTTGGCAGGTTTGGCTTGATTGATTCAAGTCGTGGAGTTGAAGTTTGATTATGGACTTGGACTTGGTGTTTATTTATACCTTCCATTAAAGGTGCACTATTTCCTTTACGTTGTTTTCGGAGCGAGGGACGGTGTTTGCTGGACATTTTAGGATCTTGAAATGGACTATTTTTCAAATGGACAATAAAAAGATCTTAAGATAAATACGAAAATTATAAAAGTAATTAAAGGAATAGAATATTATACTAGAAATTAAGTTGGGGAATACGAAGTTTTATGAAAGCAAACACTAGAAGATGGGAGACAGGCTGGCTATGCATTGGAGTGTGTGGCCCATATTGGACACAACTGGTTCTTACAATGCACTTTTCTAAAACTGGTGTGAGGAATAATAAATGGGAAAGGGAAAATGATTGAGCGGCCAGAAAAAGAAATGATTGAGCGTGAGGTGGAAAAGTTTTAGAAGAATCAGAAGATTATGAAAATTTACACAAAAAGGTTGCACAAGATGTTTGCAAATTTTTTTGCTTTTATAGTCTACACTCTGCACAGAAATTGATACCCCCTTTCATACAAAGGTTCAGTAAGATCTTGTTGAGCTACCCTAGTTGAAATATCCGTTTCACAATGAATGTATATATTTTAGGGTGAAATAAAAAATTTAAAGTGTTTTTGTAAATTTAAAAAGTTATTTCTTAAAAATTGAACTTCTTTTTTAAACGAAGGGAGTAGTAAACTTGAACTAGCCTTTTGCTGTGCATTTTTGCACGACTAATTAATTCGATCTTTCTGAGAAGCTAAACATAATATGAGAAGCTAAACATAATATTGTGCATAGTTTGGTCGTGAAACAATCTCATCTCTTCATTGTACATTAATTTATCTCTAAATAAAAATTTATCTTACATTAGACACAATTTGATAGCAGTAAATTTGTTACAGATTAGATCATATGTTAAAAACCGGTGTATTACTCCAGTAAATAGTAACCATGAATAGATAGGGGGCGTTACATATTTCCAATTTTAACAATACCACTCTTTGTAACACGAAAATTCCTATTTCTCTATGTTTTAAGCATTTGTCTATTTTTTTCTAGCTATTATAGTGGAGCATTTTAAGGCCGAATAATCAACACTTGGACACTGACAAAATTACACTTTCTACATCTAAGTAAAACTAAGATCATGCGGTAAATAAAATTTGAACACTTGTGTAAATCTTGCGCTACTAATAAGATATGAAATTGGAGAGACATAGTAAACAAAATACGGCGCATTAACTTGATTCTTGAAAGCATTTTTCTCACAAGTTTGACAAATAAAATGTCAAAGTACTTGTTTACATTGTCCAATACGCCGTTATAATTGGACATTTCAAAGGAGCATGTTTAGAACGCTTCAATGAAATCACATTTCAGCTATTTATTATTCCAAAAATCTTATCGTCATAATAGAAGAAGAATAAATTTTAAATCTCGACCACCAAGAGGGTATTGGATCGGAGGATTGATTCCCTTGATGGCTTTATATATCCACCGACAAGATGCCTTTAGTTCGAGCTCTGAATAGGAAAAAATTTAATTTGATATGAATTCGATTTAGTCACGTCAATTAGTTCCAAATAAAACATTGTCTTGTTATAAAATAAAGACGTAAAGTAAAGACAAGTATAAAGAGAAACTGATATATTATTCGAATTCAAACTGATGTACATAATGAACTGAAATCTCTTCTATTTATAAAAGAAAGGAAGCTTCTATGTAAGCTGCTACTATACTAGATATGGATAATCTTCTACTGAGAGCAATGTTTATCCATAACGGAGTACTGAAAGGATAAGCTTATTATACCCGATATGGATAATCTTCTACTGGGAGTAATGTTTATCCATAATCGGTATCGAAGTGATAAGCTTCTTCAGGAAGCTTATTTCCAATAGAGTACTTAAATAGATAAACATATTTACGGTGGAGTCCCATATGGATAAGCTTCTTCAGGAAGCTTATTTCCAATAGAGTACTTAAATAGATAAACATATTTACGGTGGAGTCCCATATGGATAAGCTTCTTCAGGAAGCTTATTTCCAATAGAGTACTTAAATAGATAAACATATTTACGGTGGAGTCCCATATGGATAAGCTTCTTCAGGAAGCTTATTTCCAATAGAGTACTTAAATAGATAAACATATTTACGGTGGAGTCCCATATGGATAAGCTTCTTCAGGAAGCTTATTTCCAATAGAGTACTTAAATAGATAAACATATTTACGGTGGAGTCCCATATGGATAAGCTTCTTCAGGAAACTTATATACAACGGAGTACTAAATGAACATCCATAATATAATATATTTATAACACTCCCCCTTGGATGTTCATTAAAAGATATGTGCCTCATTAAAACTTTACTAGGAAAAACCACGTGGAAAAAAACCTAGTGAAGGAAAAAGAGTACACATATTTAGTAATACGCATTGCTGGCTGCCTCATTAAAAACCTTATAAGGAAAACCATGTGGGAAAAACCTTAGTAAGGGAAAAAGAGTACAACGCGCATTTTATTCCCCCTGAAGAAAACCTTATTTCAAATATTTGTGTCTCCGCATTCCAATCTTGTATACCATATTCTCAAAAATTGATGTTGGTAAAGACAATCTGTTGGATTGTCACTTGAACTAATTTGATGCACATCAATGTCACAATTTTCCTGAAGATCATGTATGTAGAATAATTCTGGTGAAATGTTCTTCGTTCTATCTCCTTTTATAAATCCTCCCTTTAATAGTGCTATGCATGAAACATTGTCTCCGTATAATATTGTGGGTCTTTTATCACATTCCAACCCACATGTTTCTCGAATGAATCACTGATCTCAATCATATGCACTCCCTGCTTGCCGGTTTGAAATCGAGCTTTATGGGTATCGGATAAATAACCTGCATCTGCATTACCAATACGATCTGCACCACTTTTGTTAGCATTAGCAAGATAAATAAGTGCACCATCTACACCGAGATAGAGTATTTCAGGACCAAGGAGCTCCTCATCCTCTTCTAGAGGTTGGAACGGATCCTTATTCACTTCAAGTGATTGAATATTCATTGGTGTACTTAATGGGTACACTTTGTCCATGTAAAAGTATTTTTAAGACCCTCTTGGAGCTCTTCCGGAGTTCCAATAAGATTTATGTCACCAACATAAACAGCAAGTGTAACAAATTTTGATGACATTTTCTTTATAAAAATACATGGACAAATAACATAATTTATGTAACTTTCTTTCAGCAAATATTTACTGAGGCGATTATACCACACGCGCACAGATTGCTTTAAACCGTACAAAGATCTTTATAATTTGATCGAGTACATTTCTCAAGACTTTGAATTATATGCTTCGGGCATTTTCAATCCTTCAAGGATCTTCATATAGATTTAGCCAAATAAGTCATATAGGTTAAGACTTGTATCTAAATGGTATGACATCTTCAAGTGTCTGGACTGCTAGTCCGATCCTCACAATCTTTTACAATATTGTGCACTATATTGTATTAAATATATCGTCGACGATCATTTTGTGTCAGTTCCGAAGCGACATAACTTGTGGAGATCTCATCACTTTCTTTATTTTCAGGTACCTGAACTTTTTCGGGAGTTTCATGAAATGTTATGTCGTGGGCTCTTCTAGAGCTTATTTCCTCCTCATTATGATCATTTTGATCATTAGCTCCTACTATTTTTCAAGGATTGTTACCTTTGGAACCGATTGGTCTACCACGCTTCATGCGTACAGTAAACTCTATCCTTCAGGGACTTTAATTTTAATAGGAGCATTTGCAGCTGAAATATGATATTTAATTTTGGATCAGCAAATGCTTCTGGCATTCGACTTGAATTATCTTCTAAGTGAGGATCATGATAATTCGATTCATATAGCATATTTTTCAACTGTTTATTCCATCCCCCAAATGTTAGAAAAACTAACATATATCCCCAATCATCTTTGGAAAACATATCTTTGTGTATTATGGTAGAGAAATTAATCATATACCACGCAACAAAAGATAGTAAAAATATTTGGTTTCTGATCCTAAACCAATTGTGAAGGGAGGACTTATCATATATTGTTGATCTGATGCATACAAGTGCTGCTATATGCAATTTAGAAAATCTTAGACCAACACATGAAGCTTTGTTCTCATAAGCAATGGTTTAGCCATTAATAGGAGGTATTCAATGCTAAACCAGCTTGGATATAAACCAGCATTATCAAGATGAACTGTCTTGATTTCATAATCTGAAAATTATGCTCTTAATCGAGAAAAGCAATTCCAAATGCCAAACTGCAGGTTGACAATAATTACACATGTAACCATCTCATATATGCACCTATAAGTGGTTCACATGATAGGTGAACATGCCCATATTCACCTTTTATATATTTCAGAATCAGGGGTCTTAGTCCCAACTTTAGCTGGTATAATCAATTCATTATGAGAACAAGCAACACATGAGAATTCCTGAAGAATCTTCTAGTTCTTTAGTATATGCTTATCTGAATTCTCAAATAGCTCATTTAAAAATGGCAAATGAAAACTTCAAGTTTATCATGTCATGTGCTATCTCTTAGTAAACTTCTGGTTTACTATGGCATAAACATTTGCTTTAGTAAACTTCTGGTTTACTGTGATACATAATATAGTACAAATTAAAGAATAAGGCGGGTAACTTCTCACATACATATTCTTTTACCCCCTATGATTGTGAAAACATGAAGATTATCAATCTTCCAATCATTTGTAGTCTCAATATGATAGCCATTTGTATTAGTAAACTTCAGGTTTACTACAACATATGTTTTGACCATAATCATATAATATGAATGACATATTTGTATATAAGCTCTTCGAGAGCCTTTATTTATTATCCACAATCTAATATTTATCTGGCACTACTGGTGTCATGTATTCTTTAGGCAAATATTTAGCTCTTCAGGAGTTGTTGATACGTTTTGTACTATCAAATATTGCTCAGACACTGCTGGTGTCATGAGAGAAAATCACAATCAAATAAACAATGTAAAACAATTGTTTAAGCACACGAAAACTCCTCTTCATAATATTTTTCCACTTCAGGAGGCAATTTCAATTGTGTTACTTCTTCAGGAGCAAATTTAAAATACGAAATATTGAGTATATATTCTCTCAATTATATTAACTCTTCTGGAGGTGAATTGTAATGTATTCACATCAAGAGCGCGTTCATATTTACCCGACTTATTAGTATTGTCACATTCACTTCAGAGAATGGATTAATATTATCAAAAGTTCTCATCCTTCAGGAAATCGAACATAATTATCTGAATGCGCATTAATCACATCAAATTGTGATGCCTCAACCTCTTTTAAAATATTTACTACTTCAGGAGCAAATCGAGGCGTGCATTTAATATAGATAATATTTATGTAGCTTATCTTCAATTGTAACCATAGAAAGCCTAAATAATCACTTCTGGTGATCATAGGTATATACCACTTCTGGTAGTTAACAAAATATAGTTACAATGAGATATATGAAATATAACCACTTCTTGTGGTTGTATATTTCTTGCAAACTATGCTAGAGTTTAAGTTGATCTAATAATGTTATCCATATTCTTCAAAATGACATAAACAAGATATATTATAATAAACATCATTATCAAATCATAATTTTT